ATGACGATGATGAAATGATGATACTGATACAAATTGGGATGGTGTGGAGGAGGATGAGGGATCATCATGATGATGGTGATGATGATGAGGAGTGACGATGGTGATGAGAAGGAGGATAATGTGAAGTAGGAGGGATGACGGTGATGATGGCGATGATGATGCTGATAGGGGAAGACGACGATGACGACGAGGAAGAAGAGGGCCAGGAGGAGGATAAGGGAACGGAGGCGCTTTGATGCAGTACTGGCTGCATGTTGATGTTGAGCTCTGAAATTGGCTTCGGCAGCGGCGGTAAGACGTAAGACATTTCGCTGTTGCGATATCTCAAACCAAACTGTGTTATTGCAAAGCCGGCAGTTTGCCCACAGCATGGCGCGTTTTTGGCGTGCTCGTGGCGGCGGTATTCGGCAGTACGGCTTCGACAACAAAACGCGGAACCACCACCTCAACAACGAACTTGCCACAAGGCCCCTCGTCCGCTTCCGCTTCCTCACCTACGTACGCCTCCGTCTGCTCCTGGGGTTCTTCAAAGGCTCTTGGGTGAAATCGCGTAGTAGTGGCAATCTGAATAACATTACTGGTATAGATAAGAGTGATGACCATAGAAAAAAAGCTTGCAGCATGCGCGAGTGTGTCCGCAGGTCGTTCCTTTCCAACTTCGTTATTTGATGCGTCCTACGACGGCGACGAGATGATTAACATCCGAGACGCAACGGCGGCGGTGAAGAAGCGGATTGGGACATCTAAACCTGATATGATCGAATGCGCGCAATACAACCGTGCACGCGAGCAAGCTCACACCACGAGATGCAGCGCGGGAAAAATGCGCGCGAGCTAACAGCACACGTCACATACTCTTGGATCTTACCCCCACGCCAGATGCGGGGTCTCTGGGCTCCTAAATGCACACCCGGGGCCTCCAGAGCCTCTAGATCAACGCTCCGTGGCTACCAAGATGCCCAACATTCAATCACAGCTGTACAAGCTGCGCTCCAAGACGCCAAGGAGGCCAACAACCACCCAAGATAGCCCCAAGATGGCCCAGGAAGCCTCCAAGGGGCCCTAGAGAGCTTCAAGAGGACCACCAAGAGGGCCCGAAGAGGCAAACATAGCCTCAATCGCACAAGGAAGCTGTTGTGTTTAGCACACTCACCTTTTGGCTCCAGCGGCATCTCATACACCCCAGGAGGCCCCAAGATCGCACCAAGACAGCTAAAAAGCTCCCGAGACAGGCCAATGACAACCCAAAAGGCCCCCAAATCGGCCAAAGTGGTGCCCAACACGGCCAAAGAGAGCCCCAAGAAGGTCCCAAAGAGGGGCCCAAGAGGGGAAGTCTAACTGACATTGCGATCCCTCCGCCCCAAGAGGAGCCCTAGACAAAAGAGACCACCCAAAGGTCCCAAAGAGGCATCATACTTACATACAAGAAGCTGCCCAGAAACTTCCCAAGTGACCCGTTCTGGCATCCTAAGAGCCTGTGGGTCACAAGCCAGGCACGGTGGCGGGATGGGCCGAAGCCCAGTGCACTGCCAACAAAAGCTTCAATCAGGCTCACATGAATGGCTGACCATTGGCTCTTCACCTCTTCAGGGGTCGGCGGAATGGCGCCAGCGTCTTGAACAACATGTCTCCCCGTCCCCACCCCCAGGCGTATATGTAACGCGGGCCAGGCGTTTCGCCGCAGGGCCCTCGCCATGTATGATCCCTGAGCTTGAACTCTGCAGCACATTCACGGATGGAAAGCGGGCCTTAGTCTCAAATGTTCGCAGCAGCTGCACGAACGGAGGGCAGACCTTCACAAAAAAAGGCTCGCGCCTCAGAGCCGCGCACGCCCGTCTTAACAGTTGCAACAGGTCTGCGGATGAAGGGCAAGTGGTGTCCAACATGTGACTCTCGCCTTCGCGCCGCGCACATTCGTCTTGAACGTGTGCAGCAACTGCACTGATAGAGGGCGGGGGTTCTTGACAAAACGACTCTCGCTGTAACGCCGCGCGCACTCGTCTTGTTCTGCTGCAGCGGCTCCACTGATGGAGGGCGGGTCCTTTGGGAACAAAATCGGTGGCAACTCATGGGAGCCTCCCATCCGATCGTGTCGGCTCTTGCGAATCGACGCTAACCGACGCTAACTCGACGCTACATCGACGCTATCAGCGCTATATCGACGCGAATCGACGCCAATCGGCGCTGTCGCATCGACTCCAGAGGCTACTCGCGGACAGTCGGCGCCAAGGACGGAATTAAGACCGTACACCAGGCTCCCATGATTTGCAACCGGAATAAGGCTCTCGCAAAAGCGCTGCGCGAATTCATTTGAAAATTTGCAGCAACGCCACTGATGGAGGGAAGGTGGTGTTCAAAGTGTGGCTCCCGCCGTAGCCCGTGCGCAATCGTCGTGACAGTTCGCCACAGCTTCACGGATGGAGGGCGGGGGCTCGTTTCAAACCTTTGCTCTCGACCTGGCGCCGCGCGCATCCGTCTCAGGAGTTTGCAACAACGGTCGAAGTCTGCATAAATGGCATTCTGGCGCCATGTAGGACTGTCAGGTCGCAGAAGACATTAATTCGCTGCGTTGAAGTCTGAGGAAGGGTGCTCTGGCAATAACTCGGACTGTGAGGGCGCAACAATCACATTACTCCGCGGTGTGCAATCTCAGAAACTATGTTTTGACACGGTTGAAGATTCTCAAACGCTTGTCGTCTAATGAACAACGTCACGCAATGAAAAAAAAACCACATCGGAACCTATGGGGAGGGAACTTCAAGGGATGGTTTCTTGCAACATCGTTGACGCGTCGTGGGTTTCCAATAGTCCTCCCCCCCTCCTCCTGCTTCTCCCCTTCTTACTCTTCCTCCTCCTCCTCCTCCTCCTCCTCCTCCTACTCCTCCCCCAACAAACATAATTACCTCATAGAGGTTTCCACACCGGCGGGGGGGACACATGCGTTGTCCAATAGCTCGGCCAAACTCTGGCCCAACGTTTGGCGACACTGGCATTTCCAGAGAGGGACCAGGCGGTGCTCATTCGCCGCACTTGAGCATCTTCAGTAAAGAGATTGTGCATGATCAGGTCATGAAGACTGGGTCGGTGTTGCGCGGGGAAGATGGCGTAAGCTGCCCGAGCAGCGACCTGCATGAGCCCGCGCGCGCCAACTCCGAGTTCCCACGGCCGTAGGCTTCCCGTGCGAGGTCGGGCGCAACGCGAGGTCGGGAGTGCGCGGCGGAGGAGCTAGGAGCGAGAAGGCCCTCATCGGCTGCCGCTGCTCCTCGTCCTCGTCGCTTCCGCCGCTGACGCCTCCGCCACCTTTGTCGTCGTTTCCGACGTCACACTCCGCATCACCAAATTCGTCGTCGTCACCATCATGGTCATCACCATCACTATCACTATCACCCTCGCCATCATCCTCATCATCATCATCATCATCATCATCATCATCATCATCATCATCATCATCACCATCATCATCATCATCATCATAATCATAATCATAACATCATCCTCATCACCATTATCACAAGCATCGTCGTCAGAGACACCATCATCATAATCAACATCATCACAATGGCCATAATCATCAAGATCACCACACGCATCATCCTCATCATCACCATCACACTCAGCATCATCATATCATCATCATCATCAGCATCATCATCATCATCACTATCACCATCACCACCAGCATGAAAAAAGCATCATCATCGTCAGTGTCCTCGTCATCATCATCATCATCATCATCATCATCATCATCATCGTCAGCACCATCATCAACATCATCACAATGGCAATAATCATCAAGATCACCACACGCATCATCATCATCACCATCACACTCAGCATCATCAGATCATCATCATCATCATCAGCATCATCATCACTATCACCATCAACACCAGCATGAAAAAAGCATCATCATCGTCAGTGTCCTCGTCATCATCATCATCATCATCATCATCATCAGCATCATCATCATCACCATCATCATCATCGTCAGCACCATCATCATCACCCTCGCCATCATCCCCATCATCATCAGCACCATCGCCATCACAATCAGTGTCATCATAGTCACCATCATCATCACCAGCAACAACATCACCACCATCATCATCACTATACCCACACGCATTATCCTCGCCGTCATCAGCATCATAATCATCAACATCAACATCAACATCAACATCATCATCACCATCATCATCCGCATCAGCATAAGCATCATGATCATCGTCATTGGCATCATCATCATCAGCATCATCATCATCATCACCAGTTTCATCATCACCACCATCATCATCATTAGCATTAGCATCATCGTAATACTCATTATCATCATCATCCTCATCAGCATCAGTGTCACCAGCATCAGCATCGGCAGCATTATCATCATCATCATCCTCCTCCTCCTCCTCGTCGTCGTCGTCGTCCGTCGTCGTCTGCCGTCCCGCGCGTACTCGTCGTCGCCCTCGCGCCCCCTACAAGGTCGGACCCTCGAGCTCTCCAGGGGTGGTGCCTGACAAGGCGAACCCAGCCGTGGCGACGAAGGCGCGCCAGGAGACGCGAGACAACCCGGAAGCTTCAAGATCCTCGCCGTGCTCGTTGGCGATGATGACGGTGACTACAGTCGGCCTTAATTGGACAGGACACGCGAGAGGACACAAGACCCTTCCGAGGGCCACATCGCCATAGGAGAGTGAGAAGGCACGTGTCGCGAGGCACAGGACACAAGGGTACCCTCGAGCTGGCAGGGTCGACCTACTAAGTCCGGGCCGACTGTACCTACCAGACAACGCCAACCCAACCCGAAGACCCGAATTTGACCCGAACGTCGGGTTGGGAGGGGGGTACGGGTTCCATGTGTTTCTTCAATGTTCCCCGACCCCGCCCCGCTGAAAATGGAGGGCAAATTGAGGCCTTCGGGTTGGGTCGGGGTGGTTTGATGGCTGGTGAGACGGTGCCGTCGTCCTTCCTCGCCGTCGTCTGCCGCGCCAGGCGGCCAGCGCCTTTGCCATCAGCTGCTCCGCCTTGGCGCGCGCCCTGGCCACGATGTCGGGCGCCTGCTGGCCACGCCAGGGGTTGCGGGGGAGGGGCGAAAAGTAGGAGGAGAGGGGGGCCCAGACGGCGGCGCTATCGGGCAGAGCAGGAAGAAAAAGGAGCATAAAAGGGGGGGCTGGCTGGTGGCATCGGTCTGTCGGGAGCCTCTCTTGGAGCCTTCTTGGGCCCGCCTTGGGCCCACGCGTTGTGTGGTCCGCCCCCGTCCCTGCCATGGCAAGATGTCTCTCGTGCAACTTCGCGGCGCCAACACGCACGGCACGCGCGAAACGGGACGACATCCCGCTTGAGTTGGGGCGGGCATGTCCTCCTACAGGCGGATTTGGAAGGCGGATTTTGGAGGACAAAATCAAACATGATCGAACCATATTCAAACATAACAATCATAAATACCCAAACGCTCGTCCCCATCTTATGTTTGAACAGCTTTGGATATTCATCCTGTGGGGGGACATGCCCGACTTAACGCTTGGGGTTCCTCGCGCCCCCACGTTCCAAACGTCAAAGAACGACGTAATTCCAAAACGCCCAACCTTTGGCAACCGTTCGTCTGACTCCTGCCAGGGTGAGCGGAGACCGGTTGACGACGGAGTGACTCTTGCGAATTGGTACCCAGCGCTACATCCCGGCGCAGTGCCTGGGTATCGAATGGCGGAACATCTGTCGTACGGTGGAACTGTCCACTACTCGTATCACTTGACGATGGAGTCATCGCCTTTGCGCTATGCGCTTGCACCAATGACGGGGGTGAAAGGCAACGCCTTTTCAAAATGGTGCTCTCGCCCAAGCACCGCGCGCAGCCGTCTTACCAATTGACAGCGGCAGCGGTTACACGGGTACTACCCGTGTAATCGTTGCACTACCCGTGTAATAGGAGGGAGGAAGAGGAGGAGGAGGAGGAGGAGGAGGAGGAGGAGGAGGAGGAGGAGGAGGAGGAGGAGGAGGAGGAGAGGAGGAGGAGGAGGAGGAGGGGGAGGAGAGGAGGAGGAGGATGGGGGGGAGGAGGCGGAGGAGGAGGAGTATATCAGTACTCCGCGGGCCGTGAGCGCCTCTCCTCCGAAGCCGAAGCCAGGCTGAGACACGCGCGGGCGAGGAGAGGAGGGAGGAGGACCGGCAGCCGCTCACCCGCGACTGCCACCTGGGGTCCCAGGAGGGGCCACCACCAGGAATAGCCTCAACGAAGTACCCGACTGGGGTCCCAAGAGGGGCCACCCCCAGCAATACCAGCACGCCGAGGCCGCCCTCGGAAAAGGGAGGCTGCCACCATGAAAAACACAGTAGCCTCCAAACGACCAAAATGATCGAATGAAAAAAATAGCAGCTGAGCAGAATGACTGAGCTGCTGGTACGGGGCCCCTGGCAAAACTATGACACACCCCTACAGGATAATGCCACACGCCAGCAAGCCCAAGAAGGATAACCGTAATCCACGGCTGCCACCTGGGGTCCCAGGAGGGGCCACCTGCAGGAATAAGAGCGACTCGCCGTAGCACATGGCTGGGGTCCCAGGATGGGGCCATCCCCAGCGAAACTGCGCGCCGAGGCCGCTCCCGAGGTGGAGGCCAATACCATGAAAACCACATCGGCCTCCATCGAACAAAATGATCTGAAAGTAAAAGTAGCACCTGGAAGAGAATTAGAAGCTGCTGGTGCTGGGCGACTTGCGGGTGATCATGACACGTTCCTTAGGGGGAATGCCACGCGCCAACTTGCCCAAGTTCTGATAACCATAGGGCTTCAGGTGACCGCTGCACTCGTCCGCCAGCCCTCTCAAGAAATGCTTGCCGACACAGCCACGCTTCAAGCGCGGGTGCACCTGCAAGCCACTGGAGTACCCCAGCAGATGAGATTCATGGATCGGCACTGATTGCACCAACAGCCCAAAGCCACCAACTCGCTGGAGACTGCCCTTGGCAACGCCACCCAGGCAAGGTGTCTCCAGAAACTTCTCCGGCTTCCGACCCGTGGCGCTGCAGCCGCAGGCAGAGCAATGGAAGGCCGCTCCCATACCAGCGTACACCTGATGCTCCGACATCGTGGCTTTACGCCGAACGCACACCGCCATAGAACGCGCTGGCCGCAGTCTCGTCGGTTCAGCCTCCGCTGCTGCCAAGCAAGCCTTGGCCAGGTGCTGCCGCGCTGTTCTGCCAATCGCCTCAGCGTGCTCCACAGCTACCACCGCGGCATTTGGAACCGCGCACTTCTCGGCCCGAAAGCCTGCAGCTTCATCAGCCATCGTACTGGCCAAGTAATGCTCAACATTGATGCCAACATTCGACGCCTCCCCAATCGACATTTGGCTCTCGACTTTGGCAACTCTGAGCAGTGACGAATGTGGCAACAACACCTGCGTCAACTTTAACCAGAAGTCCCAATTGGTCGCCGGGAGCCGACCTGCGTTAAGCTCGGCGATGCCCTTCGCGACTTAGCCCGAGCCCGCGGCAAAAACGATGGGCGCACCAAGCCCTGAGAGATCCTCCACAGCCCTACGCAGAACCGTCGCCCCCCCCTGTTGATGGTTCGTTTCAAGGGAATGCCACCCCCCAGTGGCGCAGCAGCTTGACATCCAAGGCAGGTTCGCGGAGGGCCTGGCCAACTTGACACGACCAACCTATCCGCCGAAGCCGCGCGTCTCCAATTGGAGCACCACCACGCGCATCACCTCCGACAAGTAGTTGTTCGTCCCCTTGAAGATCACCCTCGTGGCCTATAACCTCGTCATGCGGTGCGCCCGTCGGCCTATCCACGCGCGCCCAGGACGAAGGTGAGACTCCTCGAAGCCATAGACAAGGTAGCGCTTCATGATCCTCCTGAGCACGGCGGATAAGGGTCTGAGAGGTGGTAGACAAGAGGCCGTTGCAGGAGCAAGTCCAGCTGCGATGGGGATATGTCTCCTCCTCGCCACAAGCGCACCTCTGGCAGTTCGCGGTGCCCAGCTTGCCGCTACTCAGAGTGGCTATCCTGCTGCGTGTCCAAGAGGCCCTCGCCATGACTGCCTCGATGGGGCCCACCATCTCTAGTTCACCTTTCTTTCGCAAGAAAGCGAGGTGCCAACGCGCATCTCGTAGATCAGCTCCTGCTGATAGGCCCTTGACAGCCCCGCGCCTCGATTCCTTGCCCCATGATGACTTACCGATGGTGTCCGGGATGGCGTCTTTGAAAGCATTATCGTCCTGGGGGCCTTCCGCGATGATACTGCCTGGCGCCGCGAAGCGCCCCCCCCCCCCCCCCCCCCCCCCCCCTGTATCTGACATCCACGCCTATGGACCCGCAGGGCCCCAGCCAATGTCCAAAAGCGTGGCGATCGTAGCAGAAACCACTCCAGTGATGCCACACCATCTGTCTTTCTGCGCTCTGTTGCCGATCCCCCCCTAGCCGCGCGCCGCGTTCGTCGGGCCAACTCCAGAACGAACCCAGGTTTGAATACAACAGCCATCCACGATCCAATGAGCCTGTGCACAACCTGGCACTGCGGGCCCTTCCTCTCCACTCGAAGTCGCAGCAAGGTGGCAGGGCAAAGACCAGGCTTCTTCATGGCCAGGATCTGCCCGAGCGCCTTCCTCCAGCCGTTGGTAACTGAGGAGGCCGCGCCGAGAACCTTGTCCGAGTAGTCCGCCGTCGGTGCGACACCGATCATAGCGAGCGTGGCACCTATTTTCTTCTGAACAGCTCTTTGTGTAAAGCGCTTGCTACAGTGGAACCGATGTTGCGCTCCCCGTCGGCGCTGAGCTTGCTTAGGGCGTCGGAAACCAGCTGCGCCACGATCGATGCCGAGGTCCGCGGCGACGCTCTCAATCGTGGCCGTGCAGCCTTCGTTGGCAAGCTTTCCCCAAGTCAACTCGGTGGGTGACGATGGTAGATTTAGCCGGTATAACCAAACCCGCGTCGGCACATCCTTTGGCGAAAGTGAGGTCTGCCTGCAAGGCCAGACCGAGGGTCCATCGAACAAAATGATCTGAAAGTAAAAGTAGCACCTGGAAGAGAATTAGAAGCTGCTGGTGCTGGGCGACTTGCGGGTGATCATGACACGTTCCTTAGGGGGAATGCCACGCGCCAACTTGCCCAAGTTCTGATAACCATAGGGCTTCAGGTGACCGCTGCACTCGTCCGCCAGCCCTCTCAAGAAATGCTTGCCGACACAGCCACGCTTCAAGCGCGGGTGCACCTGCAAGCCACTGGAGTACCCCAGCAGATGAGATTCATGGATCGGCACTGATTGCACCAACAGCCCAAAGCCACCAACTCGCTGGAGACTGCCCTTGGCAACGCCACCCAGGCAAGGTGTCTCCAGAAACTTCTCCGGCTTCCGACCCGTGGCGCTGCAGCCGCAGGCAGAGCAATGGAAGGCCGCTCCCATACCAGCGTACACCTGATGCTCCGACATCGTGGCTTTACGCCGAACGCACACCGCCATAGAACGCGCTGGCCGCAGTCTCGTCGGTTCAGCCTCCGCTGCTGCCAAGCAAGCCTTGGCCAGGTGCTGCCGTGCTGTTCTGCCAATCGCCTCAGCGTGCTCCACAGCTACCACCGCGGCATTTGGAACCGCGCACTTCTCGGCCCGAAAGCCTGCAGCTTCATCAGCCATCGTACTGGCCAAGTAATGCTCAACATTGATGCCAACATTCGACGCCTCCCCAATCGACATGTGGCTCTCGACTTTGGCAACTCTGAGCAGTGACGAATGTGGCAACAACACCTGCGTCAACTTTAACCAGAAGTCCCAATTGGTCGCCGGGAGCCGACCTGCGTTAAGCTCGGCGATGCCCTTCGCGACTTAGCCCGAGCCCGCGGCAAAAACGATGGGCGCACCAAGCCCTGAGAGATCCTCCACAGCCCTACGCAGAACCGTCGCCCCCCCCTGTTGATGGTTCGTTTCAAGGGAATGCCACCCCCCAGTGGCGCAGCAGCTTGACATCCAAGGCAGGTTCGCGGAGGGCCTGGCCAACTTGACACGGCCAACCTATCCGCCGAAGCCGCGCGTCTCCAATTGGAGCACCACCACGCGCATCACCTCCGACAAGTAGTTGTTCGTCCCCTTGAAGATCACCCTCGTGGCCTATAACCTCGTCATGCGGTGCACCCGTCGGCCTATCCACGCGCG